TTAGATCGAGAGGAATAGTAGAATTTTTAAGGGGCGGGGAGGTCTTGGGAGAAATACCTCTTTCTGGGTGTCAATTTCTATGACTTTTTTAGTTAGCAGTCAGTCATGTGTCATTATTTTGGATTGGATCTGGTGAATCTCCTTTAGGCTTGTTTTTTTGTATGTCCCTTGTATATTCTTTCATTTATCCTCTCTGTAAGCTCGGTTTGTTATAAAATTAAAAAAAAAATTGTTGGAGTAATTCAACTTYTTCGTTTCGTGCCAAGGCATTAGTAAATTATGACATGAAATTTTCATACATTTGATTCACTAATCCATCCAAGAGTCGCAAGAAACAAACCGAAAGATGCCATATAACTTGCAGCACGTAGCATTAAATATCCAGACTGCCTAAACATCAAAATGAAATCTTAACGTTGCAATGAAAATAAGCTTGTGATCTATTATCGCAATTTTTGTAGCATAAAGACTGCCACCATGTTCATTACGGTTGCAATTAGAAAGTAATGTATGATTTAGTAACTTTGGATATTGTACAATCCAAGTAGATTCCTAAGGGGTTTTGACACAATCATTTTAGTCGAACTCAACAGTTTATCACTATGCCCCATATGAAATTCTGATATTACAAGTAATACAACAAGGGTTATTAGAATTACCGTGCTACATATGTGGAAGGAATTTACATATCCAGCATATTTTGAGGCTGCAAGTAATAACGGGTAATTTCAGTTATAGAACCAAAGAAAACGCGCCCCAACTAGCAAAATTTATTGCAGCTGACAAATAGTTTGAAGACTGGAAATATTTTTATCCCGTGAAGATGACAGAAGCACTTAAGTTCAATGATGAAAAACTTGCATTACATTCATCAACCAGAAATTAACAAAAAATAAGAGACACAACTTGCCTTTTTTCAAGCCTGCAGGCTTTGCAAGCAAAAGAGCATTCACAAATGCGCCAATATTTTCTCGTAAGGACTCTTCCGAATGACTCACCTGAAGAAAGTAGTTAAAGCGGACTTAGAAGGTTGCATTCCTAGAAACTTTCACTCGGCATGTTGATTCCTTAGAAAAACCAAGCAACCTACTTTAAATAAAGTGATTTACCTTCCCAAGCCCCACATGCACAATTGATGTAGCATCCATTTTAAAGTGCATGTGACCTTCTCTTGCTTTCTTTAAGGCCCCTCTGACATCACTGGTTACAGTACCTAGCTATACAATAAATCAGCACATCAGAGAGAATATTTCAATTTATAAGCTAACACACACCATAGAAACAGAGAATTGTGGGCTCACTTTAGGATCTGGTAGCAACCCACGCTGTCTCAAAATCTTTGATATCTGATACACGCAGTAAGATCAAACGTAGAGTGAATTTCTTATTACAAGATTCTCCTCGAATAGGAAGCCATCAGCATAGAACAACAATACTTATTCACAAAAAGTTTAAATTCTATAAACCTTGCCAATGCGCCTCATCATTTCGGGTGTTGAGAAACACTTATCAACATTGAATTTCCGACTGGCTGCACACATAGAGAAATGAAGTCTCAAACATTGATCAATTACAAATCCAAGTTTGTCTGAACTCAGAAATAAAATTTTAACAAGGGAGGTCAGGATGAAATTGATTTTGTAAAGCTTCTGATCATTTTCATTGGGACTTTTTGAAATACGTTATATTGTGTGAGGGATTTAGATCGAAGGAGAAGATATGGATAATTGGGTGCTGATGCCACAAAGTTTCTGAAACTACTATTTTCTGAGTGGCAATCCTAGAGGATACATTGAGGCCTAAAATGTGATTAAGATATTAGTTTCACTACTTAAGGGTTCAAAAAGTTAAAATTGACTCACTAAGTTGAGTACAAGAGCAAAAAATAAAAATATCAATTCTTACTTGCAATTTCCTCTATTAGTTCAACGCCACCTACAATATCAGCTCCAGCAGCCCTTGCTTCCTCAGCATCAGCTCCTTCAGCAAAGAAAGCCACTCTGACAGACTGTAAAATGATATTGGTTTTCCAACAAATCAGCTACGATATTGAGTTCCAACATGACATGCTTATTCATACAAAGTTCAGATGCTACCTTTCCAATGGAATGGGGCAAAGTCATGTTACCCAGAACTTGCTGCATTTCAGAAAAAGAAAGCTATGAGTGCAAACAATATTGTAGTAGAAAAAAATAATGTAGAATACCACATAAGGAAAGGACATATCATTGTGCATAGAATCAGCAGGAGAAATGAAGGAATCATTTTTACCCCATGTTCTCAAATAAAGAAGAATGTGGATAACTTTAAAAAGTTAGATAAAACATGTAACAGAACATACAACATGGTAATTTTAAATTTCAACCAATTCAAATCGTGAATAAGACAACCAAATCATTTGTATATATGCTCTCTGAAAAAAGGGCACACAAACTATACATAATACCACAACTATACCACAACTGCATAGATCATAATGCTACAAGATACAGTTCGGATCTCTCATTCTCACATACAAAGCTATTTTGAGAACTCTACTGCATAGTGCACGGCAAGGCCAGCATAATCCAAACTAACAACAGGTACCACATTCAAATCAACCGATGACTCAGAAAATTCAGGCTTCCTTTCTACCCTAAAATTCCATTATTTTAACACTGGTAATAGTATCATTCGAACTCAATACAACCAAGAGAGAACATTACAGAGAGTCCAGAGATGATAGATACATTACCATTTTCCTAGCATCAACCCCCAATCTTGCATGTGCTTCAACAGTCTCATCAAAATTCCGCTTGCCATTAGCCTGAACTTAAATAAAATCAGAAAGCATTGAAGATTAAACAGTGAGATTGTTAATAATTGCTTCATGAGTTAAAATCTAATAACAGATATATGGGCATTAGTCTGCCTAAAAATATATAACATATATTGGTTCCCCCAACTGAAAATCACATTCCTTTTACCATTCCATCGATCATGTAGACAGATACTCTAAAATCTACCTCTTTGGTATTCTAAACTCTTTTTAATTTGAAAGAAAACAGCTTTCAGTTCTCCAAATGCACCCTTGAGTAGTGAAATTTCTCAGAATCTTTTGTACTGACCTTCACTTGCCGGATTGCGTCCATCAAATCAAGAACCACCTTCTGCTCTTTCTTCTCGACCTTGATCAGCATTGGAAATGGAGCAGTTACCTTATCCTCTTCCGCAACCCTGAAAACCCTCCTCCTCCACTGATTCTCCGCTTCAATTCTCTTCCTCTCCTCCTCCATCTGCGCACTCTCCTGACCCTCTCCCAAAGCCGCATCGCCCGAAGCCGAGCTCTTATCTTCCGGAAGCGGAGCAACACGCGTCGGATAAGATACCGGATTTATAGACGGAGCATCCTTCATATACCGAACATCCTCGCGAGTCCAGGTCCGTCGGGTCTCCGGACTCAACGGCTCCCGCGGCCGCCGAGGAGGAGGAGACGGCGGAGACTGTGCTTGGGGAGGTTCCGGAGAGTCCTGATCCTGAGCCGATTCCGGCTTGGGCTTGACAGAGTACGAGACAGGCTGAATGGGAACGGAGCGAGGGGTTCTTCGGGAGGATTCGTTGGGGGGAGAATCGGCATCGGGGTTGGGTTCGGAGGAGAGGGATCTGTGGAACCCAAGAAATTGAGGAGTCGAAAGAGAAGGGGGTTTGGTGAGGCAATGGCGGCGAGATTGAGTGAGGATGTGCTTCAACACTCCCATGGCTGCCTTCCAAACTCCAGAAGGAGAGAATGGACTGTGGGTTTAGAGGTTTAACCTCTAATCGGGTATGGGTTTCAGAAAAACGGGTCGGTTTCGGTCATTCCGGCTCGGGTTCCAGTGGATGCGTCGGGCTCCAGCGGGGAAATGGGAATAGATTAAAATTTTAGATATACAATATTCACTTTTTTTCTCTTTTTCTTTTTCGGAACGAAACAACCAAAACTTAGCTCTATGTCTTAATACAATTAACCAAATAGGGAAAAAAAATCAACTAATTACTATTCAGAAATTTACCCTCGAATCAGATTTCTCATAATTAAGATGGTTGGAGATATATGTCAATTATCACGGCTTATTTGACTATGTTATCTACTTACGTAGGTAAAAAGACCAAAATAATTACTTTATAAAAATAATTTAGAGAACATAATAAATATTTAAAAAAATTAAAGAAGTAAAATAAACTAAATTTGAAAATTCATATACCAAAATAAATTGCATTTTAAAAGTTTAGAGATTAAAATTAAATAAATACTTAGAATGTTATCAAAATAAGATTTGAACCTAAATKAGRGGTTTTGGATTTTCTAAAATTTGTCCATATGTATGTAACAATAATTTTTCATTATTCTCTCTACTTTCGTAATTAGATAGATTAACAAAGTCCCTACGGTTATTCACTTATAAATTTAGGGTGTATTTGAGAGTGATGGTAGAATAAGTGATTTTGAAAAAAAGAAATTTAAGTATAATTGATTTTCCAAAATTATCATTCTAGTGATACTTTAAAAATCATTTAAAGTAATTTTAAAATTTTCTAAATCAATTTTTTAATTTGCCACATGATCAATGTAAAAGAACGTGATTTTGATAATGGCAAAAGTGATTTTGACATGTTCAAACAAATCCTTAAAGTGATTTTCTTATTTCCTCCACAAAATTTAGCTTCAAAGTATTATCTTCGATTTGTGTTTCTGAGCGATAATTTGCTAAACTTTGAAAAGATGCTCCCGTCCTAAAATTGTTAATAATATGGCTTAAAAATCGTAAGTTCGAATATTTATCTATATATCTAATTTCAATACTGGAAGAGATGGAACCAACATCACCCTAGAAGGAATCATCTTGGCCAAGTTGCATTGGTAGACAGATAGACAACCTCTTTGTCACTTTGAGAGCTTCCTATAATCTTTCTGTTGTTGGTAATGAATAAAACAATTAGGTCAAAGCGAGCATAGTTCAGTCCTAATTGACATATATATCCGATCAAGAGATTGTGAGTTCCATTTTCAACCCACATATTATTACCGTATTTATTCAAATTCTTTTTTTATCAAGCGTTATGATTCACCTCTCCAAATAAAAAGTTAAAAAAAATCTAGTTCTTTTTATCATGTTTTAATTCTAATCCTCGATCTCCACCTCTTTGAGTTCAAATATCAAAACTTTATCCATTTGATTAGATTCATGATCTCTTTTAAAAATAGTTCCGGTTGAACCAAACAAATGTGTGTTTATTATTAATTAAAAAGTATCTCTTTTAGTTAATTATTTTATTTCCCCTAACTTTTTCTTATTTTTTATGGTGAGACAATTTTCACGAACTGTAATACTGTTTTATAACCTAAAGCACCGGGTCTTCTTATCAACGGCAGAAACAATTTTGTGATAGTCTCACTTGAATTCAAATAAAATGGTTTATAGTTTATTTGATTTGGGTCTATTATCTAATAAGAATAGTTTAGATCGGAAAAATTTACAAACCAAATAACTAGGTGATATATCTCGAAATGCCACGCAACCTAATCTAAGAATGTTTTTGCCTGCATTATTCTATCACTCTTTAATCTACTAACTTTTCAATGGTGCAATAACGTCGTTTTGAAATGGTAGAAAAATTTTGTAGTGGATTGTTAAGACCTATATATTCTATATAATATACAACCTATATGGATTGTGGATTCGAATTCACAACCGGTTAAAAGACCTGTAGATTTTAATTGGTATTTGGTTTTAGATTTGTTGTTTGTGTCAAAGCTATTGGAATAATGGAAATGATAAGCATTGAAAATGGGAGATTTGAAACGTAGGTTTCTTAAGTTATTAAGATTTTTTTTTCTTTTGAAAAATTCTGTTTTACGGAATAAAAGTTTTGTAAAATTTGTTTAACTTCCTCAAATTTTTTTCTGATAATTTCTTAAGTTTATTTTCAAGAATAACTTAATTTTTAGAACACCAAACTTGTACTTTCTAAAAAATATGTTTAATTTTACGAACATCTTTTGAAAATGAGAATTGAGAAAGATGAAATAGTTAATCTTTTGGGTAACCATTTTTGTTGGTTGTTTTTGAAAATTATGCTTGTAACACTACCACCTACATATATTGAAAAACAATATTAGATCTAATTTACTAATAGAAGATCTAATACAACAATTAACAAATTTAATCTTAAACAGCAGCTCAACCAAAACAGTGTTCAACAAAATTAAACAACGATAAAGATGAAAACAGATGAGTTTAAGGGAAGAGATGGACACACAAATTTAAAGTGGTTCGATCAAGAAGATCTACATCCACTGTTGAAGGCCATCTATTAAACAATGATCAAGAAATCAGCAACTCAAACAAAGAATCGAAGCAACACTCTGTTCAAATCAGTGCTTCTATTCTTCATGCACTCCCATGGAGATTTACAGCCACTAAACACCAATTCTTGGACAGTACCCAGCTCCCACAAAAAATCCAAAAAGATTGAAAAATCAGAACCCTAGGATGGAAGAAGAATTCGTCACCCTATTACAAAAATGGCTCTCTCTTTTCAATCTCTCTCACTCTCTCTCTCACGCACTCTCCCCCACACTCTGCCACCCCAACAAGCATTTATGTGTAGGTGGCATAACTAACTTCTTGGGTAAAGGCCCACTTGAATAAAAAACCGGAATCGAATTTGTTTGGATGGGTAAAAAATACCCATATGAGTTGGATTAAAAGACTTGAGCTCGGTCACCAACACCTGTCCACCTAGTTGATTAAAAACACCAAGAAAAGTCAAATACAAATTATCTGTCAGTAATATAGCATATATGTTCCTTAGTCTACTTTTCAAAAAATTTAGAAAACAAATGCTTCATTTGATAATCATTTTGTTTTCGGTTTTCTATTTTTTTTAAATTAAACTTGTAAACGGTCATACGTGGTTCATTGATCGAGTTAATTAGGAAGGAATGAGTTCAAACTCCATGATGACCACCTACCTAAAGAATTAGTAACTTTTATGCGTTTCTTGGTCTGAACACTCACGACTAAAATTAAGTTGAAAGCATAACCATAATTTTTTAGAGATAAAAATAAAATCTTTATCAAACCAAACCAATATGTTTTTAAAGAAAAATATTAACCAAGTCGAAAGAAGAACATAAAGCATGATTCTCTCTCGCAATTGTAAAGAATTGTGAGAGAGAGACACTCATTACATTATTGAACATAAAGAATTTGCAAATTCTCTCCCCATTAACCTTCCACAGCTACCAAAATTACCTCATACAAATAATGTCAAATTTTGATATACTATTTTCAAATTAGATGTAATTATATTCAAATTTATAGATAATTTATCAAACCCTAGATTTTAAGTTAAAAAAAGTTATCAAATACACTCATTACATTATTGAACAGTCTCTACCTACAACTTATTGAGTTTTAACCAATATYACAAGAGTGAATTGTCTACGTCGAAAAGGTATAAGGTAGGAGTGTCTTCAAAGCATGGGCAAGATGAGAGTGTCTTCGAAGTAGGGGTGGACACAGGAAGGGACTAAGGGCACATACCCCTAGATTTTTAGTATATAATATATGGTGTTTCCATTGTTAGGCAAAAGCCTCTTTGATCCGTTGGCTTTCTTAGAGCATAAACGCCGTGCTCCCTCTCCCATGTCCTTAGTTTTTTAATTATGTTTTTTCCAAACCCATTAATTTGAAGAAAAAAAAAACTCTAAAAAATCTCACTAATTTAATAAAAATCAAGTTTATTAATTAAGTTGGATTAATGTACAAGATGCACCATTAAATAATTTTTAAAAACTTACAAATTTAAGTAAAAGAAAACCAAAACCAACTATAATGTTAAAACAAAACTTAACTATAATAATGTCGTTTTAATCTAAATTCTATAAATTTCATACCAAATACATATTTTCGAATTCATTTGACAAATATGATAATATTTTTACCAACGATGTTTCAAATGAAATTCTATCAAATGGTTAAAGTTGCAACTTTTTTTTTTTTAAGTTGGAAGATTACAAAACTTATCTCACTGAACCATGTCAACCGACCAGGAAAACATCTAACTATAACTTTTGAAAAAAAAGAGTCGATATGTCATTTTCTTCAAATATTTTCATGAGTTTGGTGAAGAAAGACTTCAAGTTGGAGCCTTCAGCATGACGACACCTAACATGTTGAAGTTTTGAGTGTCGTCTCGGGCTATTCTCTGTTTGACCAAAATTTTTTTTATTCCTTTCATACATAACCCTTTTAAATTTATATTTATTTAAATTTTTTTCTCTCCTTTTCCCCAACAACTTTTTAATTTATATTTATTTAAACTATAAATTTGGTTTCTAAACTTTGAAAGTGGGGTATATAATGAATCTCTGAACTTTAGAAAAGTGTTTAATAGATCTCTAAATTTTAATTGTTATACTTTATAGGCTTTTAAACTTCAAAGAGTATGTTGGAGGCTATTTACCGCCTACCACGTGTCGATGAGGATAGATATTTTTGAGACAGTACGCATTTGCTGAGTCGTCCTATAGGCATATATCTGTTGGGATGTTGGCGACACTATTCTCCAACAACACGCCATGTTTTACGGGCGGTCAGATGGCCGTTATGCCATTGTCGGAAGCCTTGTTGGAGATCATTCCTAATAGGGGATGTCTGCCCCTTATGCAAGGTACGTGAATTCATTAGCATCCTGAGCGTTAGATCAGACTGTGACTGACTTGAGTGTTAAACTTGTTTTACAGATTCTTTGGAGGAGCAAGGTAGATCGTCTAGGTAAGTACTAATCTTAAGGGATTCTGAGCTTGACTATTTTTGGATCAAACAAAGTGTTTACCAAATTTCGTAAACTTTCAATTTTGTATCCAATAGATTTAATTATAAACTTTATAAAATTTCTTATAAATCAAGATATATTAGATATAAAACTAAAATTTTGAGTAACTATCATATACACACAACAACAAAAATTTTAAATGGAGACTTATGGCTCAGACATCAAACTTTTAATTTAATATTTACATTTTCATCATTTTAAAGTTATAATTATATTTTAAACTATATACTCTTTAGTTCATATTATTATCAGCGATTATATAAATGGATGATATTGCCAACGCAACATAACTCAATAAATTAAGGCACCTATGTTTTATAAAAAGTTGTGAAATCAAATTTTCATCCCAAATATTTGTATTAAAGAAAATATAAATAGATGATATTGGACAGGTTAGGAAGAACTGTGCGGTGATAATGTTTTGTTTGGAAACAAATCTAAACAAACAATTTGAACAATTATCTTCTAAATTTGTGTCCCAATTAAAATCCTATTATTAAATTTTGTTAGTGTTACAGAGATCCAATCACAAGACTCTAGGTATAGGTTTGATATAGTGGTAAAAATATCTCACATGAATTGAAAAAAAAAAAAGAGAAGCTATTCATGGTTGTGTAATTCAATATATAATTACGTTTTTCTGTCGCAATAAATAAATAAATAAATAAATATATATATATATATTTTCCATTTTTGTTTTAATATATTGACTACAAATTATAAGAAATTAATATTAATATATGTAAATTTTAGTATAGTTATACGTCAAAGTATTAACAATCTCTTCGAAATTCAACTAATTAAATTATATATCAAGATTAAAAAGTTGTAGATTCAAATCTTCACCCTCGCATTATTGTACTAAAAACAATCCCTCTGAAATTGAAGAAGTCATAGCAAATTATTTTTCAAGCCAAACCTTATTATATACATAAAATATTAATTAAAACCATTTTGAAAATATAACATACATTCAATTAATTAACGTTAGTATATGTCTACCGCATATAAATGTCCAATCCAACCTCCTCTACCCACCAACACAAAGAAAAAAAAAATCCGAGTGAATTATTTTAAAAAAACTTGAATATTATACATATCTAATTAATTAAGATTACTATGCTATATGCGCAAACAACAAGCTAATTTTCAATTCCTACCCTCCCCTCCACCACCCAACAAGGGAAATTAAAATAAAGGAAGAAAAACAATAAATTCATACGAATAAAAAAAATATATCCAAACCAATTTTTGAAACAAAAAAGTCATTTTCCTTTCAATAATAACAATAATAATAAGGTGGGCATAAAATTATGGTTTTCATTTTCTTTTTTCTTAAGTACAACTTATGAGTGGAATTTGAACTCACGACCTCTTATTTAGATACACGTGTCGATTATTGTTGTTGAGCGTCTTATATGGTAATAAATCAAAAATAATTTWAAAAAAATTAGGAAGAATTTATTTCCCTATAGATGATTAATTAAAAATTAATGAAGGTATATCAATAGATTTCAACGCGGTTGCTTTTTGTTTAATTTGTATCCTTCTAGAGCTCCTTAATATCGACAATCTAACAAGGTCATGTTTATTTTCTTCAAGCTACTTATTGAGTTGTTTTCAAAAAATTGTTTTTTCGTTTTTATGAATAATATATATATGCATGTATATGTATTTTTTTTTCTTTTTTCCAAATAACTTTGGTCAAATTGAGAGTTACTTTTCTTGTTTTCTCTAAGCTATCTTCTACCTTGTTTTTTTATTTTCTCCGTGCTACGTTAAGTTACGTTCTACTAGACAATAATTTTAATGTTATAGAATTACGCTAAAGCGAGCATAGCTCAGCGGTAATTGACTTATATCTCAAACCAAAATATTGTAAGTTTAATCATCCACACCCTTACCTGTTGTACTGAAAAGAAAAAAGTTGTAAAGGGTCCGAACTCATTTGGTAACATTCTCGTTTCTTGTTTTTCTTTTTCAATTTTATTGAGAAATCTAAACATTTGACAACTATTTATATTTTTTGTTTCTTATTTTTAGTTTCATTCCCAAAATTATTATATAGAAATTTGGGAAACAACAAAAACATATTTTTTATTTTCATTTCCAATTTTTTCAAAACATAAATAACAATAATTGTTTTAAAAATTGGCATGAGATTCTTAATTTAGTAAAGTACTGCCTCAGCCCTCAAACTTAGAAAAATAAAATTGTTGAAATGAGGCCGCTCGATTCCATTTTCCATCAGCCAAATCAAGCACAGTTAAGTAAATAAGGTAATAGGATTAAAAATGAAAATGAAGAAGACAATATAATTACCTTTCTTTTCAATCAAAACTCGAATAGAGAAAAAAAAATCCTACTCTCTTTTAGATCTTTAGAAGTTAAAATAGACAGCAGAATTCAATGACAACAACTACAAAAATAGTATCAATCTAAGCTCAGTTGCATCTMCCTTTATAATCTTCGCTCATACGTATCTTGTATTAAAAAAAATTACAAAAATAGTAGCGTCGTAGCTTTTTTCTTATTAGATAAGTAATGCTATACCTACAAAATAATATTTATTTTATTTTTCATCAACCGACGAATAGCTCAATAGATTAAGGTATATATTCTCATTCAAAATATTGGAGGTTTGAATCATCGCCACACGATGTTGAAGTAAAACAAAAATACTTATCCCTTCTATTTTTCATCCCACCTACTCCATTGTTATTGCATAATATTTTAAAATTATCAAATAATATCTTGATAAATTATTGATTTTGTTAAATATTGAATATTAACAAGTTGATGACATGAGCACTCTCGATTCCATTTGATAACTATTTTATTTTTTATTTTCTATTTTTAAAAATTAAATTTATTTTCTCACAATTAATTTAGTAGTTTTCACCTTTCTTAAAAAAGCACATATGACTCTTGGGCCCATTTTTAAAAACCAAAATAAGTTTTAAAAAATTAACTCTTTAAGTTTTCAAAAAAAAAATAAAAATCTTTAACTTAGATTTTGAAAACAGAACATAACAAAATTAAAAAATATATATGTAGAAGTAGTGTTATTATAAGTTTAGTTTTTCAAAACAAAAATCAAAATCAAAATGATTTTGATCCAAGCCGAATTGTTTTAACTTATCATATGAATTTGTTAGAGACAATTACAAATATGAGAAAAATATTTAATAAAATTAGTAAAATAGCAACCACGTTTAGTTTTTTCAAATATAGCATTTTAAACAATATAAATGTCCAATTTTAAAATGACAACATTGTATATATCTGTAATATATCTGACTACTAATATATATACGTGATGTGCATCTAATATATTATTAATATGAGCGTTTAATATAATTGCACTAATGTATGTGATATACATCTGATATATTACTGATTTGAGTGTCTGTACAATATGTATAAAAATTTTTGCTATATTTAAAAATTTTAAAAATAGATGACATATTTTTTCGCTACTCATTACAATTTTCCAATTTATTAGGACTTGACTTAAACAATCTAGAGTAGAATATTTAAAATGAAAAAACTAAAGGCAACATGTGGTTTATTTATTTAGGCCGGCTTTAGGACAATGTACCAATTTTTATTATAATAGAAATTTTTAGTACTAATCAACAGTAAAATAGTAAAATGAGTCAGCACTCGAATATTTTCGAATTCAAACCTTCAATTTTATAAAAAGAAGTAAATATATTACCTGTTGAATGACACTTATATGAGATGCGTGCCAACTATTGGTATGCTCATACTTGTTTTTATACTATTTTCGAGATTTTAAATTTTGCCTTTAAACTATATATGAGGTTGCAATTTTGTCTTTATGTTATATATGAGTTTTTATTTATTTGTTTATTTTATTTTAGTTCATGGACAATAAATTTTCATTGTAACATGATGGGGCATAGTTCAACGTAATTGACAAATGATTTTTTACGAAGAAATCATATGTACGAATACTCACGCCCTTATCTATTGTACTTAAAAAAATATTTTTGTTTAACAAAATTACTAAATAGGATGATCTTGAAATACTAAAAGAATACAACATGTAGGGATGAGGGATCGAACTCACAACCTCGTAGTTGGAGATATATGTCAATTACCGTTAAGCTATGTCCGCTTTAACAATTAAGAGATATATTTTAAAGTTTCAAAAGAGTTTAAAATCATATATCAATTTCTTAGGGCCTGGTTGAGAATATCAGAAATTGTGTTTTCAAATTTAGAATTTGAAAACTTTAAGATAGAGAATTATATGGGATAAAAACTTTGATAAATATATTATTTCATATTATAAACTCATTTTATGTTCGTTAATATAAAATTAAAATATGTAAAATATAATGTTTTCTTGTAAAATAATAATTATACAAAATTCATAAAAAAATATTAATTAATTAATTAATATAAATTTAGATTAAACTAAATATTTAGTTTGTAACTACCTCTAGTTTACAAATATATTACTAAACACACAATTTTTTGTTTTCATTGAATCCATTGTTTTCAAATTTATTTTGGTCTCTTCAGTTCTAAAATTTTACTGGTCGTTGTATTCCTCAATTTAGGTCTCAATTTAGGTAACAAGCTTCGATTAGAGGGATTCACAGCGTAAATCACACCCATCACTTTGGAAAAATTAAAAGAAAAAGTCAACAAAGAAAAGAAAAAAAGAAGAATAAAATGATGAAATAAATGGGTAGTAGGTGTAAGAGAGAGATTAGTTCTAGTAAGTAGCAAGAGTTGTCTTGTTTTTCCTTATAAAAACAAACCAAAATGCTTACTCATTTGTTGTGTATTCCATTCTACCTTACATTTGGCTCCTCAGTTTCCCTTCTTCCCACCCACTTTCATAACTCTTCCCTCACATTTAATTTATTTCCCACCGTTCAAAATCTGATCTAGCCATGCCACTCGCCGCCGCCGTAGCTTCCGGCCAAACTGTCTGCGTCACCGGCGCCGGCGGCTTCATTGCCTCCTGGCTCGTGAAGCTCCTCCTCCAAAAGGGTTACACTGTCAGAGGCACTGTCAGAAACCCAGGTCCTCCATCGCTTAATTAATTAAATTTAATTACTGTTTTATATATAACATATCATTTTGTCCAATTTGTTCATTTTTTTTTTTGTTTGTTTGTTTATTCAGATGATCGGAAGAATGCTCATTTGAAGGAGTTGGATGGAGCCAAGGAAAGATTGACTTTGTACGGCGCTGATCTTCTTGATTTTGAGAGCCTCAAAGCTGCCATTATCGGCTGCGATGGTGTTTTCCACACCGCTTCTCCGGTGACCGATGACCCGGTAACTTAACTGACTCGTCTTTCTTTTACGTCGAACTCTCTGGTTGAACCTAAAAACTTAAACTTTACGTTGGTTGTACCCAACTATTKTCACTAATATTGTCTATTTTGGACATAATCTGACTTTGTTTTTTGTTGCACCAAATAATGGAAGATTCATCTATATACCATGGATCACTCTTCTTCTCTATTAACGTGAGACTGGTTTTGGTACCATATTAAATCATCATCGAACTTAAAAATTGTTTATAAATTACTGTATATTTAGGAYCCGTTTAGTAACGTTCTGTTTCTTTATTGGTAAGGAAGAAAAATGCATGACATGATTTCCACCTCTACTAATTCAAGTATGACTTTTTATTTATGTTTTGAAATAAATTGGAAATGGGAACAAGAAAAAAGAAACTTATTTTTGTTGTTTTAAAATTTTTTATATAACTGTGACAATGTTTATAGAAAAAAGATAAACAAGAAATAAAGTTAATTGTAAAATGTTTAGATTTCTTAAAAAAATTGAAAACGAGAAACAAGAAATAGGAATGTTATCGGATATAACCTTAATTATTTATTCATATTCTAACACATAGATAGTCAARGGTATGAACAAATGATTGATTATATATATTAAACTTGCCTATTTAAGCTTAATAATTTAATATGGTATCTACATTTCTTTGGTATTGTGCTAATCTTTAAGCAGGGGATTTCTAAGAGTATTATAAATAAATTATTATACACATTTTAACCTATGGTTTAAATTGGGTAGGTCCCTTGTGTTGAACCAGGTACAATCATTCCTTTACTTGTGTTTGACCTGTAATGTCATTTCYTTCTTAATTGATTTTGATAGTCAACGGTTGGATCTCTATAATCTATTGACTTAAACTTTTGAATTTAGTGGTGATTTAATTCTTTGGATTGATAGGAAAAGGTGKAGCAGGCAATAATCGGGACGAAGAACGTCATAATGGCTGCAGCAGAGGCGAAGGTACGACGGGTGGTGTTCACGTCGTCGATCGGAACGGTACACATGAACCCTAACCGGAGCCCTGAAACGGTGGTAGATGAATCTTGTTGGAGTGACCTTGAATTTTGCAAGAACACCAACGTAAGTAACGTATACCATCTTAACTTTTGGCACTTTCTCAAATTTACATAATCTGTTGTTTTTGAATTTTCCCTTTTCTTTTCATTTTTGTGTTTTATAAAGTTGTTGATTTAGTTTATTATCGAGTTTAAATAGGAGAATTTCCTCGTACTATTTATGAGTAAAAACCATATCTTATTGTGATCATTTATTTCCATTGAAATCGTCTTTGACAACAAYTTCATTTTTAACATCTAAAAATTATGCTTATTTTTTCGATATGTTTTTAACCTTTTCTCTATTTGAATTCTAAACCAAAATTTAAAATGAAAAACAAGTTTTTGGAAACTATTTTTTTAATCTAGTTTAGATTTTGAAATGTTTTCTAAAAGTTAATAACAATACAAAGGAATACATAGTAGAACCCRTGGTTGTAAATCTAAYTTTTAAAAACACAAAATCAAAAACCAAATAGTCATCATCCAAAGGTACTTAAATMATTTGTTTTTCTTGAATTGAAAAAGTAAAATGATGTCACCCATATATATTGTCGTCATAATTTATATATTCAATTGTATCACCAAATTAAGTCAAGTGATTTGTTTTYCTCGAATAGAAAAAGTAAAGTGATGTCATTTATATATATCCTCGTCATTTATATTCAATTGAACCACCAAAAAGTTAAAGCCAATTTTTTTTTCTTGAGTAGAAAAAGTAAAGTGAGGTTGGATCCAATTATAGTGAGTACTTTTATATATATTTTCACCTTTTATTAAGTACAATATGTGGRGTGGACGATCGAATTGACAAACTTTTTATCGCTGATTTATGCTTGTTTTGGTATCTTTATTGTGTTTTGACTCYAACTTTATACACACATAAAAGAGCATATAATTAAGACATATGCACACATACAGAATTGGTATTGCTATGCAAAAACAGTGGCAGAGCAGACAGCGTGGGCGATGGCGAAGGAGAAAGGGGTGGATTTGGTGGCAGTGAATCCGATGTTGGTGCTGGGGCCACTGTTGCAAGAGACAGTAAATGCAAGTGTTGTTCATATAATGAAGTACTTGACAGGTTCTGCCAAGACATATGCAAATGCAGTACAAGGTTATGTTGATGTTAAGGATGTTGCAAAGGCTCATGTTTTGGTGTATGAGACAACCTCGGCCTATGGTMGATATATTTGTGCTGAAACTATGCTTCATCGTGGAGAGCTTGTTGAAATTTTGGCTAAGTTCTTTCCTGAGTATCCCATTCCCACCAAGTAAGTTTAAATCTCTTACTTATCTCTCTACTTTTATTTTTTATTTTTTTCAAATTCGTGTATTTGTTTTGAATAGTTATTTCTAGGGTTAAATTTACAGAAAGAAATAAAATATATTCCACGAACTTGGTTTGTACCTCTATCATTTCAACATTTCAATACAACTCTTGACCTTTTTATCAKCATCTTCAAAAATACCATTTAAGCAAATATTTGTTTAAGGTTTGAATGGAAAAAGTTGACGTGATAGTGGATTGAATTGAAAAGAGAGAAAATGTGGAAGAAGCTATTTAAATTGGATGGACAATAGAGAAGTAAACTCTATTGACAAGGAAAAGAAATAAACTTTCAGGGTAAAATTGGGTAGACCGTCACAAGTTTACATGTTAATTATTGCCACGTTATTAATTTTCCATTCAAAATATTAATGGATGTTTGCTTATTTTGAAATGTTTATGAAAGGTCAA